GCAGCTCAGCCGTTGCAAGCTCGGAAAGGAAACTCGGCCGGACTCAGGGGTAAGAAAGCGGTCTACAAGAGAGCGACCCTCGACGATGGTCTCAACTCTATGGCTACAGACCTCGCTCCTTTACTCCACAACTTGGGCATAACAGACGTCGATCCCCCTTCGAGAGGGAAGTCAGGTACGTATTCTTATCTTCCTTCCGTTCTATCCCCCCCCCCCCCCCCCCCCCCCCCCCCCCCCCCTTCCCTCCCCCCCCCCCCCCCCCCCCCCCCCCCCCCCCCCCCCCCATTTTTCTTTTTTATCTTTTTTTTTTTTTTTTTTTTTTTTTTTTTCCTTCTCTCCCTTTTTTTTTTTTTTTTTTTTTTTCCCCCCCCCCCCCCCCCTCCCCCCCCCCCCCCCCCCCCCCCGGTCGCTCCTTGTGTGCACGCTACTGCAAACGATCACACCCCGTCCGAATACGTACGAGAAAACGGGGAATGAATCTTCCGCTAGAACGCGGAAAGGTGCATTCCCGAGCTTGCGCCCGCCCGCCCTCCCTCTAATAGCAGACCGCGCAGCCTAGAAACTATGGCGCGCAAAACTAACCACTAACTCTTAATTCTAACAACGCCACCGGCTCCATTATGGCCGAAAACCCCTGTCCTGCCTCTTAGATCGTGGAAAGCGGTGCAGTCATGACCGAACTATCGCCCGTCCACCCTTTGTCTTCCTCCTCTCTGCCATATCTCGGCGGAGCTCCTTCTTCAACTACCTCTTTAGCTACTGACTTACTAACTAAACTAACCCCATAACCGCGTTCGCCTTCCCTAAAAACCCCTACTTCGAGACTTGGCTTGCCCGATTTCGTCGAGAAACAGGCGAGCTCCCTCCCTTTCACCCCGCCATCTACATCATTTCCCTTCTTCTGAATGTACCCGGTACCTTTCCCGGCCAGGTTCCTTTTCTCTCAACCTCGCCTTCAAGCACCCCCGTGCACCACCTCCTCTCTGCAGCCTCAAGTCCGGATGCATCCTGGCGCCATTTCACACCTTTCCTCCCCTGCCGCGCTCGGCCTCCTCTCGCCTTCGTGGCTGCCCCCGACGGCTCTCATCCGTCTGTCACCCCCTTGAGCAGCCGCCCGTCCCGGTTCATCCCGCCGTGGCTCTGTCGCACTAGCACCCGCCCCGGCTCTCCTGCACACCCACCCGTCTGCGGCGCTATCGCTCCGTCTCCCAGCCGGGTTGACGTCAACCCCGGCGCCTCAACGCGGTACGGTCCGACAGTCAGACGAATGCCAAAATGCAAAATGCGCCTGGCTGTCGGACTTCCTCCTCTACATCCATATCATCTTAGCGCAAGGGCCATGCTAATCCTCTCTGTATCGTTCCAAGTTTAACGGATGTCCCGAAGGACTCCGGCCGCGGTAGGCGCCCCGCGATGCCTCCAAAGGCCACTCACCCCTTTCCCCTAATTCCCGTCCGGGTTTATCCCCGGACTTTCACACAGGTCTCTTGCCCCATGACCATGCGAATCCCCCGTTCGTTGCCCCAGCCTCTGCTGACATCCCGAATACTGTCACTCGGGGCAACGCCCCATGGCCTGGCCCTACTTTACCAATGAAAAGCAAGGCGGCGGCCAGTACTCCCCTTACGCGCTGCCTATCACCCCGAGCGCCAGGGCCCATTGACACGCCCCTCCCTTCAGAGCCAACACAGCCCCAAACGAGGCCAACCGCCTGGCTACCCACTCAAAACCCCCACCATGCAGGCCCGACCCCCGCGCGCCTCTACCTCAACCATTCGTGGTAGTATCCACTACGCTCCGCCTATGGGTCCTGGCTACACCCACGTACCGCACCCCCGCCTGGGATGCACACAAAAAAAAGAAAAAAAACGACAAAAAAAAATAAAAGATATGCTGAGCAAAATACACAGACACTAGCGGGGGAAAGAGGGAGTTGTCGACGCCTCGTCGGCCCTGCAGGCCGGACCCATCACCGCGCCTGCCAGTAAAACCAGAAGAGGGATAGCCCCGTCGGGCCCTCAACCTCTAGGTTTCCTCCACGCCGCTCCACTGTCGCTGCGCCGTTGCCGCCGGCCTCGATCCCCGAATCTCCGTAGCAGTAACCCAATGCCATAACCTATAGGGCTATGCCCAAGCCTAAAACTAACGCCCGCAGGGTACCATACAAGGCAGTGCGGCGCGACGCTTTGGGCCAACAAACCAGCTGCGCGGCTCCCGGTGCCCGCGCCGGCTTGCTTATACCATTCTATAATTGCCCTGCGCGCCATCCTACGACACCCCGTTCATCGCACGAAGTCGCACCGTCGCTGCCGATGCCATCGTCGAGGTCATCCCCCGCACGCACGCTCGACTTGGTCAAACGTAGCCATCGGAAGGGAATATCCCCTAGATCCTAGTTTAATCAAGGGTAAACAAAAATAAAAATAGAAACAAACCGACGAGCGTCCGCGCCGGCTTCATTATCAACGATAGCAACGGAATCACGCGCGCCTCAGACCTGCGCGCCCACGCACTCTTTACTGTAGTCAACGTAAATCGTAGGCGTCGTCGCGCCTACCGCGGTATACTTAACTTTAAACCAAACCTATTTTCTGTCGCTTGCAAAAACCAGGGCGGATACCCTTGTAAGGGTATTTGCACCGACAGCTTACTGGACCATATTAAGCGACGTCCCCGTTGCTTCGCCAAATCAGAAAGCTATAAATCCATCCAACTTCAAATGTTGACGAGAAAGGAACCAATCCGAGTAGACGACAGACTCGGGCCTCCAACAATCTATGCCCACACAACTATATGCCGCCAGGGTTTTAACCTGGGTTTCCATTGTCCTGACACTAGGACGTCGGTGTATTACGCGTCATTACTACAGCATAAGTTCCAAAGGTCACCCCAAACTGTCCTCTCCCCTTCGCCCTAGACAAACGCCGGTTTCTCGTTGAGTGTCTCGGCTAGACTCTATCCCGTAAGCAGAGCCCTCCCCAGGGACGCGGGCCTTAGATGGGACCTCAGAAGGCACTCTCGCCTCCTTCTCAAAATTCCTCACAATCAAGCATATACGTATATGTATATTTAAATCTCCTCTCAGCTCTTTCTGCAGTCTAGTACAGAAATGTAGGTCTCCATCCTGGCCCACCATAGTCTGGTTGATTGAGCCAGATCTACGGCCTTCCGCATTGTTATCTTAACGACAGTTCCTTCGTTGGTTATGCAACGATAGGTTTTCCCCTGATAAGCATTCAATCAGGACGACCAAACGGCTCGACTCGTATCCTCGCCATCCCACCTGAGTAATTTCTCTGAGGCGTGCATAACCCCTTAAACTCTTACCCCGCTGGTAGACGTGGGTCCGCAGCCAGGTTGTGTTGGCTTGCAGCTATCCAATAGGGGTTGCGCCCTAGAGGCGCTAACCTTTACCGTTTAGCTTGGTATTCCTCGTTATGCCTTGGGATTAGCACAAGTGTCTGAACGGTGCGTCGCAAAACAGATCACAGGCCCACTGCGGGACTACACAGGGGTCTGTCTCACTTTTAAAGGGTGCTTACAAGCTCCCTATGGGACAACATAGAAGCACGCCCCCCCCCTTCTCACGATTACAACCAAATTCACCGCCAGACTCATATACAAGGCCGTGGCCTGCTGACTTGATCAGAGGCAGCAGACCACACATCCCACGGCTATGCACTGACTTGCGACCTTCTCAGTTCCACCAATGATCCAGTCCGTAATTCTGGCTCCTTTCGTCAGACTTTATCAACTCAAACTTTACTTACCATGCCCTTGAATCTATTAACCACCTTTCACACGAAGGAGGTCTCTCTCAGTAGGTCTCCCAGCCATCCCTCTCTGTCTAGGATGAGCTATCACACGACCTTTTTTAAATGCCCCCTTTTTCGGAGATGAGTCTTCCGATGAACAACATTACCACCTTCCTTAATCTGAAGGGGTCTCAACCATAGAACAACTCAGACTGAGAGGCCTACTAATAGGTCCTCTCCACAACTCAACCACAAAGCAACTCAGCTGAGAGACCTGCTTATGGGCCCTCTTTGCAGCTCGATCGTAAAACATTCGGCATGGTAAGTATTCGAATCCCAGAGACTCGTAAAATCCCTTGGGATTCTCACGCTTTTACAATAACAGACTGCACTTCGTCTCCTTATACTGGCCTTGTCCTGCTTATAAGCAGACCGCACGAGTATACCGAAGAGTAGATAGTTCACATTCAGTTATTCTCGTGAAAATCCACACAACTCATGAGATGCTCCTTGTACATTTCTCACACAAAATCATCATACATCAGGATAAGACCACACGTGTGAGAGTGATAGTGATCGTCACATACAAAGAGTAGTCTCAAATAAAAATTCCAACTCAAATACACACTCCAGGATGTAATATCCCAACTCAAGCGGACCAATATGGTCTTGAATTACATATATACACTTAGAGTTGAACAATCTCAACTCAAACTCGACACCGGTATCACACAAGAACAATGCGGCCTCCCTGACCAGAGCTAAAGTTGAAACAGTTTTGATCAGTACGTAGCCACACTCCTCAGACAGAAGGACCCAAGTAATTCAGGCCATATCCAGATATCCTAAGAAAAAGTAAGGCTAGAAATCACTCATACACCAGTCTTACAACTACCTTCCTAGGACAGAGGGCCTATCTTCTACGTGTCGAGGTCCTTTCGCAAGCCTCTTCTACCTCTCATGCTTATACCACCCTTCGGGCCTAGACACGACACAGGTCCCACATCTCTTTTCTCTCAATCACTAGACCTAATAGAACAGACCCCTACTTCGCAACAGCGCCCTCACGGTCACTCCTTGCTCCACCCGCTCGGGGCATTCCAATAATATGGTGTGAGCCACACCTAACATACCCCATATATACAACTATTCTATTGGGGTTCCTCCTGCCTACAGCTCAAGTCACCTTACCGGACCATTAGTGCGAAAATTTCTTCCCTCTGTATGTTGTGCCTATCTACAACAGCTATGTAACTGCGATTTTCGCGTATCTCTACAGTCTGCTTAAATTTCCAGGCCGTTCTCACACAAATCCTTCTCCTCCACGATTACATTTAGGAGGCAGTGCTCGATGCCCCATCTCGCCGCAAAGCCTCCTTCCTTGTTCCCCCAGGGATGGTTGGGTCGATATACTCCCCCGTCCTGTCGAAGACATTCCCCTCAATGTCAGTCCTTATTAGACCGCTTGCCTCATCTGCCCTGCGCACCCAACAAAACTTTATGATGTGCCCTTCCTTGGCACAATGTCTGGAAATGTCATTTTCCCAACCCGCAAAGCCACCTCTGCTGCCGCTGCGTCCTTCTCTGTCGCGCCCACCGTTCTCGCGGCCTCTTCTTGCCCCCTGCCTTTGACCTTCTTCGTTGGTCCCGCCGCCTTGTGACACTTGTTGAGGCGGTAGTTGCAACGGCCTCCTGGGTTGGGTTTGGGCTACCAAAGACCTGGGCACCTTCTCCGGATCGCTTCTGGCTGGGTGTTCCTCACCTAGCCAGTACTTATGCCTCATGTCATCACAAAATTTCCTCCATGACGACCCTGCTCCTTTAATTAACCTGTCAACTTCATCCTTCAATCCTATATGGATAAACCTTATGACCTCTTTCAGCATTCGCTCCTCACTCCATTCGTAGTAGGCTGCTATCCGTCCAAACTTTTCAATAAATTTGGAGACATGATATCCCTTGAAGAAGTCCATCCCAATCTCAGGCCCTACACCCATCCGATCGTACGGCGTCCACTGTCGATATAGTGCCTGTTCGGCTGCCAAAGGCCCCTTTTGAGCAAATTCGCCCTCCATTTCCCGCGGGGCGGCTACCTCTTGCCGAGGGCACTGCCCCTTTTCGGTACCCTGACCTCCCTGGGCCCGATTCCTCGCCTTCCGCTGAGCCTTTGTCAACTTGGGTGGTCCAAGCTCCCCTTTTTCTCCCGTCACACTCACTTCTTCACTTCCTCGAGGGGTACGGCCAGTCCTTTCCCAACGACCACGCACCTCTTCTACCCAATGCTCGGGCCACCACCCACTCTTCTGTCTCTCCCGACCTGCAGCTGAGGGTGCTTCCATGTTAATGAGCCCCCTCTTTGGGTCCGGCACAATAACAGGTAGGGCCATATTAGCATTCTGCTCCTCCTTTGCTTCAAAGCATTGTTCGCCTCTACCCCTCGCCTGAACACCAGCTCGCCTCTTTGGGGTTCCTATCGAGAGGGGTGGCTCTTGGTCATCCTTCCCCACTCCTTTTTCACCCTGGTCTGTCGGCTTACTTAGGGAATCTTCTGAAACCTTCAGCTCGCCTCTCCTGGCCTCCTCCAGCCGTGCTAACCTCTCCTCCAATGCCCCTACTTGTCTTTGTAGCCCACTTAACTCCGCCTGCGATGGTGCGCCCGTGCTTGGCGGCACAGGGCATTCCCCAGGTTGGCCCTCCATTCCATCTTCTGAGAATCTTAGCCTTAAGGAGCTTTCCAACTCATCCCATGTCTCCGCCTTTTGCTTGAGGGCATACACTTCCTCGCTTAGTCCTTCACAAACAAACAAGGGGAACATGTACCACATCGCCTTCTTGTCCCACGTCTTCACAAGGCAAAAATCTTGAAAGTCGCGCAGAAAGCTAGACAGGTTCCTTCCTTGGAACAGCAGGGCACACAGATCTGGGGGCATTGGCTCCTGCAACACTTCGTTCAGCAGCACCTTCATGAGACACGAACTCCTCCAACGCAGAATTTTAGCGAAGCCGCACCCTTCCGCCATGATGCTGACAGCAGCCTGATACGCATAGCGGGCAATAAACCATCAAAAGTAATTCAAGTAAGCTCAGGCAGACAAGGGCAAACTGCTAACACTTACATAACACCATCTACCCCTTTACTCATACAATCAGGCCTCAACCCCTGGTTACCCTGACACCTACTTTTATAACTACAGTAATAGGTAGAGAGACGACCCCAGCCAAGTCAAAAGAAGCGCATTCAGTGGAGAAAGAGACATTCCCTATCGGCCCACTGTGACCCGAATCTCCTCCCAGTCTACAACTCCTTCATTTGGGTCGTGCGAACTTGCATAAGCATCCACTACATTGGCCAGGTTCCTAAGTTTCTGGCTATGGGGCAAGAACTTTCGGTCCAGGTACAACCCATTTATCAACTCGCACGTGTACCTTGCATATCCCCATTCTCGCACCTTCACAGCAGCCTCTGCAGCGGCTTCTACCCTCGCCTGTCCCCCAAAATATGCCTCTATCAAGAACTCTGGCAGGACAACTCGCAATGGGGTTGAGGGAAGTGTAAACTCTTCAGCGTGCTTGACTTCTACACGGGCCTCCACCTGCTCCTCTCCTTCCTGGACCCTGTCATTCGTCCACTTTGCTGCAGCTTCCTCAGCTACCCTCAAAGGTCTCGCCAACAGGCTGTCATACCCAAGCGTCAACTCAATCCCATGTAAGGCCCAAAACGAAGAGGACGCATACAGAGTTACCCTTACGATCGCACAGTCCCGACCATCATCAAAGCCGGACTCGATCCAGGCAAAAATACCCTTGCCTATCGGTGCGCCCCACCAGGAAGAGATGCTCTCCCTCCCTGACTCGCCTCGGCAAAGAAATCTCAAGCCCATCTTCCCCCTTGACAGGCAGGGTCACACTGGGATCTTCCTTCGCATAAGGCATCCTGAGTTGCCTTTGCTCCGGTCTGGGTTCTGCTCATCACAGAAAAAACGTCTGGCATGTGCCTTCCGTCATCATATTAGCAATCGTACTGTCCCATCTTATCCCTAAATCCTTAGCCTCAAATCATCCTTCTCTAAATTCATTCATTTCCAGTGTTCGCAACCATCTAGCTTAAGAAAAAGTTTACTGGCAATATACCATGGTAATAGCCCTTTCACCGCCACCCGTTTCCTAATAGTGGTTACTCATAAGGAATGGTATACTACTTAAGTAGCGGATACCAATTCTACCTTACTAAGATTATCGCGATACTCATAACGTACACGCGTAGAGGAGTCTATCCAAACCAAACAGTTATACCGAAGAGAGYCTTTTGCACAAACATCCATCTGAAATAAAACACCAAATACCCATCGATAAAACCCTCGAGTCATAATTC